GAGAGAGAGATGGAGTACCTGCTCCGGGTGGCCATATATACATGGGAGTTCACCAAGCAAACGCCAGATCATATCTATCGCGCCTCCCCATGCTCTTCGTCCTGGGCTTCCACGCCCTCCCCAGCCTGACCAGATTCATCCATTTCCTCTTCCTGCTTGCCCTCCCCCGCCTGGCCAGATTCATCCATTTCCTCTTCTAGTTCGTCCTCCCCCTCCTGGCCAGTTTCATCCATTTCCCCCTCTTGCTTGCCATCCCCGTCCTGGCCGGTTTCATCCATTTCCTTTTCCTGCTCGCCCTCCCCTTCCTCGCCAGCGTCATCCATGTCCGGCTCCTGATCGCATGCAGCTTCCTCATTTTCCCACAGTCGCAGGATATCCTTAAGCTGCTGGATCTTGGGTCGCCTCATAAATATAAGGCTCCACTGCACAGAACAAACATGGATTTGATCGTCACGTGATATCAGCTGATAATGCAGGCCAAGCACTTCGAGCGACCCGGCGTTTTTCGATAAAGCCGAACCGTGTAGACCAAGCGAGCTCGGAGAGTGTTGGCATTGGCCATGGCCCATGCCTTCGTTACGACAGTACACATATACATGAGAAACCCATACATCTGTATATGCTAAGCAACTTGGAGCTCCTGCTTCTTCGTTCCAGAGCTGAAGAAGCCGTGCTCGTGATTCAGCCACAAAAACGCAGCCTCATCACAGAGTCTATAGAGATGATGATGCACATATACACATGACACGATGTGCCTCTAGCGACACATGTATTTGCGAGGCGCTTTAAACTTCGATGGGAGAGGCGGTCGCAGACCATATTGTGCACATAATGGAGCGAGCACGTCGTAAGCCTTTTCTATGGCATCGTCACACATGAACTCATACTCCTCCAGGCAATCATGAGCCTTAGATTCGCAGACCAGATTCTATATTTTCTGTACATGATGCATGCAGTACGACCATACACACACACACACGAGATCAAGCTGCCTCGCTGGCTCGCATGGAAGCCGCCAAAGACACTGGCGAACCCTCCGGCTTCTTGCGGACCCACTCGTCTAGAAGATCTTTCAGCAACAGCAGCCTCTAGGCAAACGACAGAAAGAGAAACACTGCACAGATCATTGCCACAGCATTGCAACATACAGTTTAGAAGCTGGTCATCATGGTCAGCATCTTCAGGCTTACTAAAATCCGGAGCATCGTGTGCTGGCTGCTGTTGATCTTCATCAGCTGCCTTCTGAGTGCTAGGCATCTTGGCCTGCTACTTGTGCAGGCTGCAGTGTCCAGCCAAAATGCTGCTGAACTCTCGCTCCCGGCAAAACAGCAGAGTGCAACTTCGAAGCCAGCTGCAACATATAATTGTTAGACACACACCACAATCAGATGCAGGCAAAGCTGGGGGGGTGAGTCCTTGCTGCTTCAGCTGGATCTTTCGACGTGCAGACAGTGCTGCTCGCAGCATGGTAAAGAGATCCACGCATTCACTCCATGGACGCGTCGCTAGGGTCTAGGTTTAGGGTTTAGGGTTTAGGGTTTAGGGTTTAGGGTTTAGGTTCTCGAGGGTTTAGGGTTTAGGGTTTAGGGTCGGAATAAGGTTTGGATCTAGGGGTCTCGGGTTTCGGGTTTTAGGGTTTAGGGTTTAGGGTTAGGGTCGGAATAAGGTTTGGATCTAGGGGTCTCGGGTTTCGGGTTTCGTAATATATGTATCCAGCCATAGCAACTGGCTGATCTCATGAAAACATGACATCCACTTAGCCATGCAGCTATATGTTCTTGATACAGGGGTTTTCATATAGGGGCTTAAAGCTTCTATTGAGCCGCAACGAATGCCCAACTGCGTGGTCACGCGCTCATCTCGGCCTCCAATACGACTTCGAACACCGGCCAATCCTTCCAAAACCATTAAACCCTAATACATATGCTCTATAC